GCTGCCTGCCACTGAGACGAGTAGGGACCCTCTACGGCCTCCGCGTAAGAACGCGGAGTCGGGATGTCTAGTGCATCCGGGTCTCCCTCAGGGGCAAGCTGTACAGACGCGAGATGAGGTGAAGCAACCGCTAGACACTGTAACTCCTCCAGTCTGTCCTCTAGGACGTCCGTGCCAAGAGCACACTCACCCCCGACGGACGGAGGACAGACAGACGCAGTCTCAGCAACAAGACCAGCAGCGTAGTCGAGACGACAGCGAGCAGCAAAGTCAACGAGCTCAGCGACTAGAGCAGACGCAGCAGTGGACTCAAAAGAGGGGTTAGTGACGACAGTAGCAAGCAGACGCGTGATAGTAGGACTGGCAGCGCGAAGAGAGTCCGACTCAGGGTCGGCAAGCGCAGGAAGAGAGGACTCAGGAGGAGAAGGCAAAGGGGCACGCAGAGGAGCAGTGGACGGACGCAGAGACATCCGGTGCGTGCCAGGGACAGGAGGAGGACGCTGACGCGAACCGCGACCACTAGCGCGAGCAGCACGAACAGGCGACGCGGGACGAGACGCAGGCTCACGACGCTCAGCAAGACCTCCAGTAGGACCAGTGTAAGGAGAGGGAGCAGGCAGAGGAGAGGAAGGCTCCAACAGTGACTGCGACTGGACAGGCTGTGGACACTCTACCGAAGGAGAAAGACCAAGAACCTGCTGTAGGAGCGGAACGAAGTACGGCCGAGGCCGCGCGGCAGCTCCAGACTCAGCAGGGACAGTACCAGCACCCTCAGCGACAGCACCAGCGCCACCAACACCTCCAGCGACAGGACCTCCAGCAGCACCAGCAGCAGAACCACCGCCAGGACAGACAGCAGTAGTCTCAGCACCAACACCCTCAGCAGCTCTAGCTCCAGTAGGACCCGCAGGCCCAGCAGCTCCGGGACCGGCAGCACCAGCACCCTCGACGGTCGACGAAGCTCCAGCTCCAGCAGCACTCCTCCAGCGGCGAGCAAACCACTCACGCAGCTCCTTTGGAGAGAGGGGCTCCCGGCGAGACGCAGCAGCAGGAGAAACCCCAGGCTCAGCAGCTCCAGACTCAGCACCCCCAGGCACAGCCGCTCCAGACTCAGCACCTCCAGGCTCAGCAGCTCCAGATACAGCACCCCCAGACTCAGTAGCTCCAGCTCCAGTAGGACCCGCAGGCCCAGCAGCTCCGGGACCGGCAGCACCCTCAGCAGGCGAAGGAGCTCCAGCTCCAGCAGCACGCCTCCAGCGGCGAGCAAACCACTCGCGCAGCTCCTGTGGAGAGAGCGGCTCCCGCCGAGACGGAAGAACCGGAGAGCCCCCAGGTCCAGCAGGCGCAGGCTCCGCACCTCCAGGCCCAGCACCCCCAGGCTCAGCAGCTCCTGACGTAGCACCCTCCGGCTCAGCACCCTTCGGCTCAGCACCCCCAGACTCAGCACCCCCCGGCCTCGCACCCCCAGGCTCAGCACCCCAGGCTCAGCACCCCCAGCAGCAGCACCCCCAGGTTCAGCACCCGCAGCAGGACCAGACTCAGCAGCAACCTCGACTGGCTCGACCGTGTCTACCTGGGACACACCTGAAGGGGCAGGAACCTGAGGGGGGAGGGGGTCTACCGGGGGGGGAACTGGTACCAGGAAGTCCGGTGGGGGGGGGAGGGAAGGAGTACGGTAGGGGAAGAGGCGGTAGAAGGGGACTGACTCGTCGAACGTGACGTCCTGGGAGGATAGAACACGACGAGAGGAGGGGTGGTAGAACTGCCACCCTGGAGCGTCAGGGGGGAAGCCAAGGAAGACACAGGGAGCAGCACGGGGGGACAGCTTGTCCGCAGACAAGTCGCGGACAAAAGTCGAGATCCCCAGACACGGAACGCAGACGCATCGCCGACCTTCCCCGTCCACAGTAACACTGGGGACATCGCGGGCCGAGAGACCCTGGGGTGAAGGTTGAGCTGATGCGCCGCGTACCGAACCGCAAACGGCCACAGAAAATGGGGGGCAGCCGCATGCATCATAGACGTACGAGCGACATCCATGACCATGCCAATGCGGCGCTCAGCAATCCCATTTTGCTGTGGAGAGTCCGGAAGCGTAAAGGTCTGGCGGATCCCCTGTGCACGACAGTAGTCTCGCAGAAGGCGAGAGGAGAACTCCCCACCTCGGTCAGAGTGCAGACGCAGAACAGGAAAGTCCGAGCCGAAGCTCCTCCTGAGCTGGAGACGAGCCTCGCGGATCCAGTCGATCAGCACCTCAGTGACAGCACCCTTGCTGCACAAGGGGAAGACTGAGGTGTAACGCGAGTAGTCGTCAACCACCAACAGGAAGTAGCGCTCGTGACCCTGCCCACGGACGGGGGCCGGGCCCCACACGTCCATGTGAAGCGTCTGCAGAGGAGCCTCTGTCGGGGGAAACTGGGAGGAGTGAGGAGCAGCCCTGAGGCGCCCCTCGACACAGGGGACACAGGAAGGTCCTGGTCCCGAAGGAAGGGGAGGGAGAGAGTGGGGAAGACCAGAGACAAGGACACGGGAAGCCATGCCCCGAAGACGGGGCAAGGAGGGGTGGCCTAGACGGTGGTGCCACAGAAGAGTCTCGTGAGACAGGAGGCGACACGAACAGGGGGCAGACTCAGGACCAGACCTGGACGCAGCAGCAAACACCTGACCCGACGCTGCTACCTGACCGGACGCGGGGACAGAAGGAGACTCAGTGGTCAGGGTGTAGAGGCTCGACCCCGGCCGACGCGAGAACGTGGCCAGGTGCCGGCCTGTGCGTGCGTCCGTGCAGTGGGTCACCCGCTGACTCGCAGGAGTGAACTGGTGAACCCCCGCATCCTGTAGGTCTGCACCACTCACCAAGTTCGTCGAGAACGAGGGGAGGTACAGGCCAGACAGGGTGCCCGAGGGGGCAGCCGGACACGGGAGGACAGTGGAGAAGTGAGCGAGGACAGGACCCCCAGAGGGGTCAGCCAGGGAGACTGCAACCGGCCGACCAAGCGGCGTGAGTGTGGTGCGGTCCCGAAAGAAGGAGCGAGAAGCCCCAGAGTCAAGTGTAAAGGTGAGGGAGGCCGAAGTCAACGCGGAACCTGAGAGCGCAGCCTCACCCGCACCTGAGGAAGCAGACTCACTAGCTCCTAGAGCAGCAGCCGCACCTGTACCTGGAGCAGGAGAGTCACTATCACCCAGAGCAGCAGCCTCACCAGTAGCTAGAGCAGCAGGTCCTATACCTGGGTCAGGCGGGACGCACAGGTGACCGGCACGGTCAGCACTAGTAGGCAATGCATACATGGCAGTGAGAATAGCATCATAGTCAAGAGCATATATATCTACCCTCTGCCTAAGCAACTCCACCCAGTCGGGAAGCTCAGCCTTGTCGCCAAACACGGTACGCCAGGCGTCGCTCAGACGGGCGAAGCAGCGGGACGGTGTATGACTACGTGTCCCACAAGGCTGACCAGTCCGAGTACCAGTGCGAATCACGTAAGAGCAGCGAACAGCACTGAGAGACCCTCCACTCTGAGCGTACCACTCACGAAGCTGGCGAGGCGTGAGAGACACGCGAGAGGGTCGCGGGAGCTGCATCTGGCCGCCACCACGAGTAGAAGCAGCAGAAGTGGTAGTAGGAGTAGCGTCGCCACCCCTACAGCCCCAACCAGCGTACCACTCACGCAGCTGCTGGGGCGTGAGGGACTCACGCCGGCGTCGCTGGGGCTGCATTTGGCTCCGCAAGTAGAAGCAGGAGCAGGACTAGCAGCAGGGAGGCAGGCAGTCAGGCAAGCCAAAAGGCAGGCAGGCAGGCAAGCAGGCGATGCGCAGCGTGCTAGCAGGGCAAGAGCTCACCAGTGGTGGGAAGAGTAGGCTCGGCGACTCAGCGGCTCGGCAGCTCGGCGGCTCGGCGGCTCGGGCGACTCGGGCGGCTCGGCGGCAAGGCGGCTCGGCAGCAACTGCAGCTCAGCAGCTCGGTGACTCGGCGGCTCGGCGGCAGGGCGGCTCGACAGCAACTGCAGCTCAGCAGCTCAGCGACACGGCGGCTCGGCGGCAGGGCGGCTCGGCTGCTGGGCGGCTCGGGTGCAGGGCGGCTCGGCGGTGGGGCGGCTCGGCTGCTGCAGGTGAGCGGCTCGGCTGCTGCAGTGGGAGATGAAGGAGGAGGAGAAGCAGGGGAGGCCACACACCTGCCACCCCTCTGCTGGCGCGGCCCCCGAAGGAGCCGCGACGGGCGACGGGAAAAGGGGGGGGTGGGTGGTGGGGGCCGGTAGGTGCAGCGGCGGGGCCAGCAGGTGCAGTTGCGGGGCCGGTAGAAGGGGACGGCAGGAGCCGTCAGGAGGGGACGGCGGGGCCGTCAAGAAGGGACGGCGGGGCCGTCACGAAGGGACGGCGGGGCCGTCAGGAGGTGACCGGGCCGCGACGGGGGCAGGCGGCGGGGCCGCGTAAGGGCCTGGGCAGGGCCGCGACAGAGCCGTCGGCGGGGCCGCGTGAAAGCCGAGGCGGGGCCGCGTAGAAGCCGGGGCGGGGCCGCGCGAGAGCAGGCGGCGGGGCCGCGAAGGAGCCGGGGCGGGGCCGCGTGAGAGCAGGCGGCGGGGCCGCGTAAAGGCCGGGGCGGGGCCGCGACAGAGCCTGCTGCGGGGCCGCGTGAGAGCCGGCGACGGGGCCGCGTAAGGGCCGGCGGCGGGGCCCCGTCAGAGAGGGCGGCGGGGCCGCGTCAGTGAAGGCGGCGGGGCCGCAGGGGAAATGGCGACCTGAGGGGTCGCTAAAAAAAGATCGCGCCTCGGGGGGCGCTTCGGTGGGCCCAAAAAAAAAACGGTCCGTAGAAGGACCCGCTCTATACCATGTGAGAATAAGCGAACAGGAATGGATGAACTAGAAGTGAAATGAGTACAAGTAGTAAACCCTAGAATTGTGTACCCCTTATAGGCTAACCCACTGTAGCCTACACAAGCATAACATATATAATGTTTGACACCCTCACGGACACCGTCGCGCACGCCTTCCCCCACCTTCCCTCACGCTTCCCCGCTTATCGCCCCCGCTTCCTCCCATCGTCGGCCAAGCTTCCCCCCATCGTCGCCCACGCAGCTCGAACCGTCGCCCACGCTTTGGGGAAGTAGGGAAGGAGATAGGGGGAAGCAGGGAAGGAGATGGGGGGAAGCAGGGAAGGGGATGGGGGGGAGCAGGGAAGGGGTTGGGGGGGAGCAGGGAAGGGGTTGGGAAGAAGCAGTGAAGGGGATGGGGGGAGGCAAGGGAGGGGACGGGGGGAAGGAGGGAAGGGGACGGGGGGGAGCAGGGAAGGGGAAGGGGGGAAGCAGGGAAGGGGATGGGGGGAGGCAGGGGAGGGCATAGGCGGAAGGAGGGAAGGGGATGGGGGGAAGCAGGGAAGGAGATGGGGGGAAGCAAGGATGGGGATGAGGGGGAGCAGGAAAAGGGATGGGGGGAAGGAGGGAAGGGGATGGGGGGAAGCAGGGATGGGGATGAGGGGGAGCAGGGAAGGGGATGGGGGGAAGGAGGGAAGGGGATGGGGGGAAGCAGGGAAGGAGATGGGGGGAAGCAGGGATGGGAATTAGGGGGAGCACGGAAGGGGATGGGGGGAAGCAGGGAAGGAGATGGGGGGAAGCAGGGAAGAGGATGAGGGGGAGCAGTGAAGGGAAAGGGGGGAAGCAGGGAAGCGGATGTTGGGAGGTAGGAGAGGGCACAGGCGGAAGGAGGGAAGGAGATGGGGGGAAGCAGGGAAGGAAATGGGGGGAAGCAGGGATGGGGATGGGGGGGAGCAGGGAAGGGGATGGGGGGAAGCAGGGAAGGGGATGGGGGGAGGCAGGGGAGGGGAAGGGGGAAGCAGGGGAGGGGAAGGGGGAAGTAGGGAAGGGGATGGGGGGAGCAAGTCGGAGGATGGTGGGAAGCAGCGCAGGGGATACGGGGAAACAGGGAAGAAGGGAAGGGTGTATGTGCGGGTTGGAAAGGGGGCGTGACAAGTGTGCGAGATGGGAAGGGAGAAGGGAGGGATGGCAAGGGCAACGAGGAGTGGAAGGGAGGGCGACGGGGGGAGAGAGAGAAAGAGAGCGTGAAGGGGGAAAATGGGTGAGAAATGGGGAAAGCGGGGTGAGAACAAGAGGAGTGAGCAGAGGGAAAGAGAATGAGGCGGGGGGAAGCGAGTGAGCAGGGGGAAAGAGAGTGAGTGGGGGGGGGGGGGGAGAGAGTGAGCAGGGGGAAAGAGAGGGAGCAGGAGAGAGTGAAAGGCAATGGGAGGGGAAGTGAAGGTGACGGGTGGGGAAGCGAGTGTGACGGGCGGGAAAGCGAGTGCGGCAGGCGTAGAAGGCGACGGGAGGGGGAATCAAAGGCATCGGAGGGGAGAAGTGAAGGCGACGGGAAGGGGAAGTGAGGGCGACGGGAGGGGGAAATGAAGGAGACGGGAGGGGGAAATGAAGGCGACGGGAGGGGGAAATGAAGGCGACGAGAGGGGGAAGTGAAGGCGACGGGAGGGGGAAATGAAGGCAACGGGAGAGGAAGTGAGGGCGACGGGAGGGGGAAACGAAGGCGACGGGAGGGGGAAATGAAGGCAACGGAAGAGGGGGGGGAAGGGGGGGAGTGAAGGCGACGGGCGGAGCGAACGCGACGGGTTGGGGTCGCGAACGCGACGAGCTGCGGAAGCGATGGCGACGACGCGGGCGACAGAGAGCGGAAGCGAGGGAAAGGAAAGCGAGGGCGACGGGAGGGGTCACGTTTGGGCGATTCGATTTTCGCCGCGAGTTTCCACTACGGAGTAGTTGCACAATAACCTGCATTTCGACACAAAAAACTTCACCCAGCGAACACTAGGTTTGCGCGTCATCATCGAAATCCGCGGCACCCACATCGTAAGGCCCATCTGATCCCTGTTGAGCGAACGCCGACACCCTGCCCTGTCTACAAGTATGGTCTATGCCTAGTACTTGGCGTGATATCTCGAACTGTGCACAGTTTGCTGTGCTCGTGCTTTTCTGGTTGTGGGAAGGACCCCACCCATGATGGGAAGCGAGAAACTTTTGTCGCAAATTGGTTTCGCGAGTGAAAATCTCTCGCAACCCAACCGAGCCTCTTCGTGCCTGCCTCCCGAACCTAGTTTTTAGCGTTGACTTCCGTTGAGTAATTCAGGTCTTGGGCTTTAAAAGTTTTCTCCCCGCAGGTGATTTTCAAATAATTTTGCGCGAGACGCGGTGCCTGAAAACGAACATCGCAAACTGCGGTGGACCAGTTTTGCCCAGACCCGTACAGCATGACATTGTCACCATTCAATCCAAGTACGAGTCAGAGCGCTTCAGAACGCGGATTAAGGTTCTAGAACGGTTGAAAGAGGTTCGTCGAGTGACAGTACAGCAAGCCTTCTCTACAGCATGACTTGCGGCACCAATTTCTAGCTTCACTGTACTGAACTCTTCGAAATGCCTGAATGCTTCTGGTGCGGTCTGCCAGAGTGACATGCGGCGAAATGGGATTTGAACCATCCGGATTCTGGAGAAAATGAACTGATAGAGTAGGGAGGTACAGTAGCTCGCTTGGATGTGCTGTCACCAATGAACTCTTCTGAGCAGGGCCTCAGATTGGTTTCAGGCTAGGCTGAAAGATCAGAGTTGGTACAAAATTCTATGCTGAAAAACAGAGAAATCAGCCCATTTTATGCCATTTTACACTACAAATATAGTAAAAAATCCTGTTTCTTCACAAAAAATTGCTGGAAAATCAACCTCGATTCTGAAAAAGGTCTGAATCTCAGCCTTTTTTACTTAAATCAGCCTTTTTTCGCTGATTTCTGAGGCCCTGCTTCTGAGACATGTATTCAAGCCACACCTGACACGACCTGCGATTTGTGTTGTATATCAGCGATTTCCACGGTAAGTGCTGTTTGGCACTCGTTTCTCCCTCCTGGCTGCTCGTGCCTCAGGCACGCATCTCGCGCCGCTGCCACATGTAGCCCTCGGGTCTGCTCGTGCTCGTTTTTTTTCTCGATGGTCGGACTGTGGTTAAAGCACCGAAGTCTTCAGCAAGATTATCTCTTTCAGTTCAATTAGAGTCTCCCGGAGATAGATTTGAATCGCAACCAGCACTACTACCAGTAGTAATACCTCTAAAACAGCCATGGCCGCTCAGATATCGCTGCGACCCCCATTCGTCTTCGCTGGTGAGTTTTACATGCGCCGCGTTCGTCCTCACAAGATCCTGTCCCTTTTCTAACGCACGTTGAGTTGTCGCTCTACTAGTCACTTCTTGTGATAGTTGCTTCGTGTCGAATCTGCTCTCCGCATGCACGTCGTATCCCCGTGCAGTGCTGCTCTCTCTCATCAGCAGCACCATCGCCGGCCGCCATCTGCTCCAACTTGTTACCTATCACTGTACGACAAACTATAATGCTGCGTGCACTCTTTTGCTGACAATCTTCATGTACGCACTAGCATCACATTCGATTGAGGAAGGGCACCCTCATGCTCCTCCGCTTATCTTGCCACAATTCCGTTGCTCCTCCCAGGGCTGCCAGCCAATGATTCTCTGATCCTATTCCGTCTACTGCTTCCGTCCTTTTTGCCCTCGAGGGATCCCTTCCCCGTCCCGCTGGCGCGCAGACCAAAAAACGTCTAGCCTCAGGCTGTCTTCTCGTGGCAGGATGGCTGCTTCGTGCACGCTGAACGCTGTCGTGTAAGCGTCACACCACGTTGAATGTTCGCCTGATTTCAGCGTTAATCTCTAAACAATGTCTGATGTTTTCATGCTGACCTCGGATCCTTTCGTGACTAAATCCGTCATCACGCTGAACTTGCGATGAGAAGTCCCCACTAGTAGTAGCAATTTAGAATATTTCTAAAAATCTTAGCGTCAATGCACCTGCAGAACTGCACTCTCTGTCGTGTTCTCATCATCCCTATCTCCTCCAACTCCCTCTCCCCTCCTTCCCTCCCCTCGCAGCACAAACACGTACCAATCTACCAACTTTTTCATCCGCGTTACAGGCATACCCGTAGCATCGACCCCAACATTCACCAATCCGAGATACTACTACAGCAGCACTAACGCCACTGTGGCCGAGTTCAAGTGCGCATTCCAGATGGAATCTATAAGAAGCAATTGGAACTGCACCGTTGCAGAAAATGTTTCACTCACCACTGGCACTTCCCAGTCAGTTGGCACCTTGAAGGCGTTAATCAATGCTGGGTTGTTCAGGAAAACCTCGCCCTTAGCTGTTTCGGTTGCAGTTAGCGGCTACAACATCATGGGGTCGGTCTGATAATATGTATCCAGCCAATAAGTGGCATATCATTAGTCTTGAACTCCTGCCTACAGTATGGCAGATTCTTAGTGGTCACTTAGTCTGAAGTCTCATCATGGCTAAGGCCTACCGTAGGTTTCGTTGTACCAAACGTTCCTCCGACATATAATGAATTAAAACAACACACTCCATTGTCCAGATTGAAGCCAGCATCTAAAATAGCGTCCTGCTCGTCCATCGCGCCCCTGCGCCCAGCCCATCCGTCGCACCCCCGCTGCGCCCTGCCCGTCCGTCGCGCCCCCGCTGCTCCCTACCCGTCAGTCTCGCCCCGTGCGCCCTGCCTGGCCGTCGCGCCCCGTGCGCTCTGCCCGTCCGCGCCTGTCACGCCCGTCCCTGCCAGTCGCGTCCTGTCCGTCGCTCCGCACTGTCTGTCACGCTCTATGCAGGCCCTCCAGGCGTTTAGGGCTTCGGCAACATCAGTTCCCACCCCTTAGCTGCCGCTATGGCAGTCCCTAGGGTCTTGCGCTTTGGCGCCGAGGGTAGGCCGAGTTCTCCGTCTGGCTCTTGCGTGCGCGCCGACTTTTAGAGAGTCAGGTTCAGGCAGATGAGTCTCTGTAGGAGCACGCTTCTGGCGACCTTCCTAAGCCCGACGATCCTGCACCCTTAGGCAGTGACCCTAGCGATGCAGACAGAGATTGTTATGCCCGCCAACGTGCTGACCTCACAACATGGAAGTCGCTTGACGCTGCGGCCTGCATCGCCCTCAACAGCCTCCTCCCTGAGTATGAGGAGGCCCACTTCACTCAGGTTCGCATGACTAGTGAGTTCCTGACTACGATCAAGACCCGCTACGCTACTCCCAACACTGTCTCTCTTGGTCGCCTGTTCCTCCCGTTCCTGTTTCCTGGCCTCGCCTCGTTTGAGCGCTCTGCTGACTTGATCGCTCACATGCACTCGCTCGATCCGCGCTGCCTGCACTGACGAACAACTTGCAATGCTCCCTCCCCCTTATGGCAATTACCATATTATCCATTTCATCGCCACTAGCCTCCCTGACCGCCTTGCCTCGGTTCGTGACGCGCTTCTTCTGAAGCACCTTAGCGAGCTCACTATCGAGGTCCTTGAGTCTGCCCTCAAGGATGTCGAGAGCAACCTCCGCTCGGTTGCCTCCGCCTCTGGTGCTGTGCCCCCTCCACTGTTTCACGAATGTACTGTCCCTCAGCTACCCATCTTTACTGCCTCCCTTGCCACTGCCGCTACTGACGTGACTGCAGCTGCTATTACGACTTCTTCGCGGTCTAGCGGCAGGAGGGGCGGTCAGGGTGCGGGCGAAGGCGGCTAAGGTGGCGGAGGTGGCGTGGCGAGCGGCGGTGGCGATACTAAAGAGGTTGGAGGAGCGTCTCGTGCAGCGGCTAATGAGTCCCCTGCTACAGTTGTTGGAGGTGACGCTCGGGTTCGTCAGGCACCTACTGGTCCGCCAGCTGCAGGTGCTGGAGTGGCGGCTTGGTACCTGACTCTGCGGTAGCAGCAGCAGCAGCAGCAGCCACTCCTCTCGCTGCAGCCACAACAGTAGCAGAGGTAGCAGTAGGCTCCAGGGCAGGAGTCTGGACCGCGTCAGCTGTCGCGTGGTGCCGTCCACCCTCCCTGCACCTATCTCGTTCAGACAGGTACTCGCCGAGGCCTCCCCTGTGGCCGCACCCACCCACCAGGTCAATGCTTTGCTCAGCTGACTGACACACTTCGCGCTGCCTACAGGGTTGACGACCCTGCCCCTGACCGGCTTCCCCTTCTTCAGCGATACGGCCCCGCTCTGTGGGGCATGTCGGCTTCTCATCTGCTTGATCTCTTAGGAACTCCTCATGCCATGTATGCTGTTATTGAATCTAGTGCTCCTGACTCTGCTTACTCGAGTGTTGTTAGCTCAGGTGCTTGTATTGCCGAGGTGCCTATTGCTAGCGCAAGTACTTGTGTAGACATTAGTCCAATAGATGCCTTGAAGGACACTTTGCTGGCGTTCACTCTGGACTCCGGAGCTTCGCGCTGTTTCTTCCGCGACCACATGACGCTTACATCGCTTCCTGCGCTGGTCTCTGTAGCACTGGCTGATCCTACTTCGGGACATGTCACTGCTCGCTACACTACTACGCTTCCGTGCCCAGCAGTTCCCTCGGGTTTCCTGGCGGGCTTCCATGTCCCTCCGTTCTCCAAGAACTTGGTGGGTGTGAGGCCGCTGGTGACTAGTCATGTGGGTGTGTGGATTGAGCCTTCTAGCGAGACTTTGATTTGTGTCGACGGGGACACGTATGGGCCTCTGGCCATCTCTACCGCTGAGTCAAGCTCTGGTCTCTACACACTTCACACTGGCCCTCAGCATCAGCATCAGCAGAAGCAGCAGCTACTGCCCCCAACCACTATCACTGCCCTCGGTCAGGCCCCCCCCGTCTCACCAGGTTATCGCTTCTCACTAGGTAGCTGTCTCTGGTCAGGTTCCCGTGTCTGGTCCAGTTGTTGCGTCTTGCTCCTGCCGGTCACTTGCCCACCCCACTGTTCTGTGGCACCACGAGATGGGGCACCCGTCCATTCCTCGCCTGCACGCTATGTCTAGTCAGCGTCTTGATTTAGGCCTCTCGCGAGTCTTGCCGTCGTTGCCGCCTTCGCTTGCACCACCTTGTGGTCCCTGCGTTGAGGGTCCGCTGCGTGCCAACCCTCACTCCTCCTCCCTTTGTCCGGCAGCGGAGCCCTTCGAGACTCTCTACTTGGATGTCCGGGGCCCCGCCCCTCACCCTAGCCATGAACAAGAGAGTTTCTTTTGTGGTAGTCGTTGACAACTACTCTCGTAACACCACAGTGTCCCCCTGACGAAGAAGTCTGAGGTGACTTTTACGCTGATCCGGTGGTTATTCGTGGTCACTCTTACCACTCCGGACACTCATAGTTGTCGTGTCAGCTGTCTTCATTCAAACTGTGGGGGTGAGTTTCGCTCTGGCATTCTCGCTGGATTCTGTCGCGAGCAGGGCATCCGTTAGTCCTGCACGCTTCCAGAGTCCCCACAGAAGAATGGGGTCACTAAGTGCCGCTTAGGCTTGGTTATGGAAATTGCACGCACCTCCATGATCCACGCCTGTGCAACCCATTTTCTGTGGCCCTACGCGGTTTGGTAGGCCGCTCACCAGCTGAACCTCTGGCCACGTGTCTCTCGGCTAGAGGCTTCACCAACCAGTC